TCCTCTGGAATGGGATGTCACAAAGTCGGGTAGTCTGTTACCGCTGTTTTGGAGGAAAATGTTATCTCCATCTTCTACCCTGGCGACATAGGCAGCAGGTTCCCCTGAGACACCGGTAATGTTCTGCCAGACTACACAGCATCATATCCCACCAGAAAGCAGTCTTCAGTATTACAGATACTAAGCCTGACATTCTACACCTCATACACAGAGACTGTAGACCAATGGGATAACTGTCTAATTAGTAGCAGCAGCCAAAATTATACATCACTGTGACCACTAAAACTTTCTACAGCTCGCCTTATTCCAGAGGCATGCAATCAATTACAAATAATTAAAGTAAATTTTCACATGCCTTAGCTGTAAAACTACTCTGTGCTCACCCTGCACAATGGAGAGTCTAAATAAATATGCATGTACACTCAAACTTGTTCCAGTGTTTAACTATCCACCACAACATGATGTCACATGATGGAGTGAAGGCAATGATCCAGGCATGTTTAATCCTGGCACTATATGTCTGAGTCCTCATCTGTCCAGCCTATGGCCTAGTCACTAAACTGACTAAGATAAAAACTATACCTGTAACAGGCCGTGAAGGTCCATAGGGTTGTGAGAGGTCGAGGCTCCCACATTTTCTCTAGACAATCAGCTCACAGATGACAGTGAGGTTGTCAGCCTTACATGCCAGCTTTCTTTTACCCTCCAGGAAGATTCCTGGTACTCAGTTCTGTCAGAGACTGAGTCAAGCCCAGGGTCATAGTGCAGCTGGAGGGATTAGGTCAATTGCAAAAGTCCACCTCATCAGGACTCGAACCCGCGACCTTCTGGCTTGTAGCATAGCACCTTAACCAACCACACTGTGTGCCCACACTAAGATATACCAGTCATTTTTAAAATGGGTGGTTCCTAGTGTAAAGTACTTTCTTTTAGAGATTTCTTAAGCACTCACTTATCTTCACTTAAATTAAGTGAAGTAATTCAGGAGACTATATTAAAGTCAATGAAAGAAGTTCATGTCCCTTAAGTTTTCTCCTCCTCTCAGCTCCATAACCATTTTGTTTAGACAAATGCTGGTAATGATAACCACATGATAATCTTCACCAGTGACACATACTCTGGGTCTGGGGCAACTGATCTATGGCAGAGAACACTAGAGAGGAATACAACAGCAGGAGACAAGTTGAGGCCTAAAGAGCCATCATCTCCACTGCTGCAGCTGGATTTCTTTCTGTTCTCAGTATAGGAAATTAGTTAACAGTGAATAGGAAACAGAAAAACAAACATGACAGAATTTTCCAAATATACCTTACCATTCATCCCTAGGTACCAGTCCTTGGGATGACTCTTAATCCACAATTCACTAAAAATTGCTGACAGAAGGCAAAGAACAATTAGAATGAAAAAAAGGAGAAGTATTTGTACATTGGTCATCTTGTCTACTGAAGACCGTTTTAAAGGAGCTGACGTTGAGTTCTTCATCAGCTTCGTCTCATGACCCGTGTAAACAACAATACCAAACACCCAACTGGTGTTGCGAAGCATGGCCCCACGCAGAAGAACTTGGTCTGGGCCCAATGGGAGTGCCCTGTAACAATTGTGCACAACATTTAGTTCCAATGTCAACATGTTGAGCCCTGTGATCAGTATGCAAATATGTAAATGCTGTTTCAGCTACGTCACCGAAACTGAATCTGCAGAAGCCTCCACAGTAATCTTTAACAATCACGAACTTTAGCATATGTTCACCTCTCACAGCACAAATGAACTATTAAGTAGGAATATACGGAAGCACAGAGGATCACTGTACTCAATATTTTCCTTGCCTGATCCTCTCTACAACAAAAGACAGATATGTAACTCTGTTTTAATTTTTGTCTTTCCATCTTTCCTTTTCCTTAACATAGGCATTTAAGGGAGCTGCGATAGTTCAGTTGGTATAGTGATGGGCTACAGGTTGGATGGCCAGGGTTTGACTCCCAGCAGGAGGAAGAGAGTTCTCTCTCCTCCACAGTGTCCAGACCGGCTATGGGGCCCAAACAGCCTCTTATCCAATGGGTACAGAGGGCTGTTTTGTTTAAGGTAAATTAGTCAGGTCATGAAGTTGTCCACTAACCTCCATTTGGTGCTAAGGTCAAGAATTCTGGAGCTACACCTCCAATGCCCCTTACGTCTTCATGGTGTGGTACTTAATTAAGGATAGAGACAACTCTATTTTTATTTTTACCCTTACCCATGCATCTACACCTTCCATAGAATTTACATGCACTTACAGTAACTGGTAGAAAATATAATGTTAAGAAGCTGCCGAACATTAGTAAGAATACAATAAATTCCAGGGAGGAGAAAATTTTATGTATTTAACCTTTGCTGGATACAGTCACTGTATGAAAATAGCATTTCCACCTTTCCTACTGCCTTGGCATTGCATCTTGGTAATGGCAAGAAGTTATATAATTCTGAGGTAGCTTGTACCTGTGGTTGCACTTGAACATCATCTAGGACACTACACAGGGCTCCTGACAAACTTTGAATCACAAATATGAAAACACACTAATTCACAAGTGTTCTGTGGACAAGTCCATAAATCCATATACCTCCATTCTGAGAAATAATCAGATATACATAATGTCTGAAAATCAGTGCATCTGTAAATAATAATGCATTAGTCCATGAAAATAAAGATGCCAGAAAACTGTCACAATTTTGAATCCTGGAGACATTTTAGAGCCACTAACATCACATCACATCTACACAGCAAATAAGAGAAAAACAGAAAAGAAAACAAAATACATATGTTGGATAAAAAGTAGTAGCAACACCTCTATAGTTCTGAAATTACTTTATTACCTGGGGTAAACACACATTCCTTCAATATAATCGCCCCCCATGTGTTCCACCTTCTGCCAAATTTGTGGAAGGCGTCGTACACCATCAGCGCATCCACGTTTGTTGATGTCCAGCAGTGACCGCCCTACAGCACAAATAATCTCCTCTCTTGTGTTGTAACGTGTCCCTTGCAGTGGTTCTTTCATTTTGGCAAAGAGATCATAATCGCAAGGACTCATATTGGGTGAGTATGGCAGATGTTGCAGTATCTCCCATTGCCAGCGTTGAAGGACATCCTTGACAGCATCAGCAGTATGAGCCCTTGCATTGTCATGAAGGATGATGGGGTTTGTTGCCAACAAGTGTCGTTGCTTTCTCCTGAGAGCTGGAAGAAGATGACTACGCAGGAAATTGCAGTAGTAGGCAGCATTTACTGTCTGTCATTGAGGAACAGTGTGGTGCAGTATCACTCCATCAATGCCATATGCCACAATGAACATCGCCTTCACATCACTCTGTGTAGGGCACACTTTCTTTGGATGAGGAGAGTCAGGAAGCTTCCATTCATTTGATTGTCACTTCAGGTGCGGTTCATATGTGTGAGCCCAAGTTGCATCCAGAGTGATGATCCTTGATCCTTCCAAGGAAGTCGTCTCCTTCCCTCTGGTACCGGTCCAACAAGTCCTATGCAATATCATAACGTTGTCACTGTTGCACCTTGGACATTGTATGGGGTACCCAACATGCTGTAATTTTGCAGTATCCAAGAATATCGTGCAGAATGTGGAGCACGGCTTTGTGACATACGCCTACCTCAACAGCTAACTCCTGTGCAGCCCATCGACGATCGATATCCAGCAAAGAAGCAAGAAGCTAAATTGTGTGGTTGATGGCTGTCCTGAATGGCATCCCTCACTTCACAGAACAATTTCACCCATTGCGCCAATGTGTGATATGGCAAAGCAGCATCACCACATGCTTCTCGCAGTCCCTGATAACAGTTTTGTGCACTACAACCTCGTGCAACTTCAATTTTTATCCAAGAGCGTTGTTTTTGTTTGGTAAACATGTTGTTAGGGTGCTTGAACTGGGCTCCTGCACTTCGAGACAATACACAATGCAACTCAATGAAACACAATCAGAGCCACTCACTGCACTACTTCAACTGAACTTCTGCTATCAGCTACAGATAGCGCTAGTGTTACCTAATGCACATCTTTCATGCTACAGCAGTGTTGCCACTACTTTCTATCCAATCCTTGTATATATATATATATTTGTTTTCAGAAACAGTTCAAAAACCATGAGGAAATGTATTAGCTTAGACTAGACATACAGCACATAAAAATACCTGCAATAAAATTTTGTCATTTTGACCAGAAGGTGAACAGACTAATGGAAGAGTGCAAAATTTTGTAGTTAATTTACCTGATGAAGAGAAGAAGGGGGGAAATGGTGAACTTCAAAAACAAACAACATGGTGTTTCAGAAATTAAAGAAAGTATACAGTGAGATAAGGAAGAAGTAGTTGCCCTTGACCTTACTAAAGCACTAATGCCATGATAATATATGAGGGTCGTACTGAAAGTCATGAGCAACAATTTTTTGTAAAGTAACATGCTTTATTATTGACAAACCAAATACACCACCTCAATCTATCAATCTCAATCTTTCTTTATTTTTCCACATAATCGCCACTTCTTTGTGCACATTTCTCCCAGCGTGCTGGGAGTTTGAAAATTCCCCTTCTGTAAAATTCTGTTCCAGCCATCCGAAGACACTGACACACTGCTTTCTGAATTGCCTCCCTTGTCTCTAAACGTTGACCATGCAGCTGATCCTTCACAAATCCGAAAAGATGGTAGTCAGAGGGTGCCAGATCAGGGCTATAGGACAGGTGTGGAAGAACTTCCCATCCCATCTTTGCAATTGCTTCCAATGTGATGCGAGCGGTGTGGGGGCAAGCGTTGTCATGCAGGATGATATTTTGTCCCGGACGTTCATCGCGCAATGCACAATGGAGCTTGTGCAGCATCTGGACATAATTAGCAGCATTGATGGTTTGCCCAAGTTCCAGGAATTCGGCCAGAATAAACCCCTCTGCATCCCAGAAGACTGTGCCCATCACCTTTGCAGCTGATGGCAGTACCTTTGCCTTCTTTTTTGATGGAAAATGCAAATGGTGCCATTCCATACTCTGCTGTTTCGTTTCAGGCTCAAAATGGTGAAACCAGCTTTTGTCACCTGTCACAATAGAGAGCAAAAAATCATCGCCTCGTGTCGATATCTCTGCATCAGTTCTGAGGTGATGGCTTTTCGCTGACCTCTGTGGTCTTTGGTCAATAACCACGGGACTCAACAAGCACAAACTTTCCTATAGCCCAAGCTTTCAATCATCTCCTGTATTGCACTGTGCTCTATTCCAAGTTTTCGGGCTATTGTGTCCACAGTCACACGCCTGTCATCTTGAATGATCTCATCCACTCTTTCCTTGTTGCGTTCAGTTGAGGCTGTTCGAGGACAACTGCTCCGAGGCTCATCTTCGATGCTGGTGTTCCCGTCTTTAAAATGTTTCACCCTTCTTCGAACATTGCTCGCACCCATGCACACACTTCCATAAGCACGCTGAAGTCTCTGGTGAATTTCTGCAGCAGGGATTTCCTCTTTCACAAGAAATTTGCTGACAGCACGCTGGCGAATGTCGTTGTCGGCCATTTTGTTAGGAGTGATACTGGTCACGTGATGCAAGCTATTGACGTCACAGGACACTCAAGGTTAACACAATAGCTGGTTCCACCTACCACTGTACTCTCTTTCATCTGCTGTTCCCAGGTTGCATGCAAAGAAAGTTGCTCATGACTATCGGTACGACCTACGTAGTATGTAGGAGTGGACATTTAGCTGTGCGTAATCTCAATCATGGCATTAGTTGCAGGCTGGGAGTCAGCTTCACACCCTGACCATATTACTCCAAAGAAAAGTGCCCCTGGTACCCCATGGGCATGAGGCCAGGTGAGCTTCAGAGCTGTGGCTGACGTGGTGGTAAAGAGAAAGTGTTTGCCCATGCTGGAAACCAAACCCCATCTATTCAGCCCGTAGCAAGTCACTACAATGACAGAACTACCTCATATCATAAAATATATAGAGCAGATAAAAATATAAAGATTAAATACTTGTATTCATATGCATATCAAAAAATGAAAGAGAGTTCAGAAACTTTTAAATATGATGACTTGTGAAAGAAATGTGATTCATACCTTGTGTTAAATAGGCTAAATCATAAATGTCAACAAACTGCAGAAACACTAATTCATCTTCTTTAGAGGTATCCAGAAAGCAAATTATGAATTGTGAATTCTTAGGACATACACATAAAAACTGCCTATGGGCTTTAGCCTAGTACAAAAGTACTGCTCTCAGTCTGGCCACTGGATGGATTACTGCCATTTAAAATTTCTTATTATGTAGGCTGAAGTTCAGGAGTATTATTAATATAGAGTATTTTGCCAGTGCACACATGTTTAATTTGGTAAAGGGAGTTTCATATTACAAAGAGAATTATAAAATAAAATTTTACAAAATTTTGAAGAAGATTCTCATCTGAGATGGAAGCCTGTAGTCTGTTAGATGTTTACCAATATTTCAGAAGAAGTGCTGCCTCCATGTTCACAGTGAAGACTCTTACACATGAGTAAACATCTACAGGACTATGCATATCACACTCCAGAACAAAGAAATATTCATAATTACCACCAGGGGCAACTAAAATGTCACTATATTCTGTTTGAATAACCCAAACTTCCACCAGTCACTGAATGTATGCCTTTCCTCATCTAATTAACAAAGATGTCAACAAGGAGGTGACTGTGCTGTTCTTATAATTTCCTGCATAATAATCACTGTTTCAACAAGAGTGTGTCAGGATTTCCTCATCCAAGACCTGCCCTGTACAAACACGAAATTATAACTGTCATTTATTTCAATAAACTAAATACATTCATGGGTCAGCTGGTAAAGATATTCTGAACATGTTATAGAACATGAAGGATCACTACTGTGTTCACAAGAGCCTGCCACTAATCTTTATCCTGAGCCAGAAGAATATAGTCCACATCTTCTGTTCTGTTTCTTAAAAATCCATTTTAATATTATCTTCTGGTCTGAGCCTATATGTTATAAATTTTCCTGCCAGACTTTTTATATGAGGGTAAGTCAATAAGTAAGTTACAAATGGATATAGAACTTAAACAAATAAGAGTACTGATTTGAAAAATGCTTTTATTTTTCAACATAATCTCCCTGTACATTGAGGCATTTGTCCCATCATTTCATAAGCTCCTGAAAACCTGCAGCGTAAAATTCTCTGGGCTGCTGTCGGAACCAGGCATGTTCACACGGCATCGCATACCTCATAATTCATGACAGGTTAGGTTTTCACAAAGTCTGTGCACGATGGGTGCCGCGCATGCTGACCCAACACAAAATGCAAAGAATACTAGCCCAAATTGCCACAGGTGATGAGTCTTGGGTTCACCATTACCAGCCCAAGACAAAGCATGCATCAATGCAGTGGAAACATCCTGCATCATATGCCAAAAAAAAAAGTTTAAGGTGACACCATCCTCCAGGAAAGTGATGCTCACAGTCTTCTGGGATCATGAAGGCTTGCTGCTCACTGCATTCCAGCCTCAAGGACAAACCGTAAATGCTGACTCCTACTGTAACACCCTCAGGAAACTTCATAAGGTCATTCAACAGAAGCATGCAACCCGTCCATGCATTATGAGGTAGGCCATGTTGTGTGAACATGATTGGTTCCGACAGCAGCCCAAAGAATTTTATGCTTCTGGTTTTCAGGGGCTTGTGAAACAATGGGACAACTGCCTCAATGTACAGGGAGATTATGTTGAGAAATAAAAGCATTTCTCAAATCTGTACTCTTATTTGTTTAAGTTCTATATCCATTTGTAACTTACTTATTGACTTACCTATGTACAGTTCTCTTCTTTCCCATGTGTGCTACATGCCCCACCAATCTAATCATCCTTGACTTGTTCATCCTAATAATGTCTGGAGAGGAATACAAATCATGAAGTTCCTCACTGTGCAATTTTCTCCAGCCTACTGTTACTCAGCACCCTGCTCTCAAACACCCTCAGTTTATATTCTTCCTTCAATGTGAGAGACAAGCTTCACACCTAAACAAAATGACAATATTCTCTACGAAATAAAACTTAACGTACTGTTTGTTTGTTTCCTTCATGATGCCACTGAACTCATAAAGATGCCTGTTGGGTTGTTCACACTCCAGAGTGCCAGTGAACTGTGTGAGGTCCTTGATTTCAAGCAATCCTGCTGTTTCTGGTACTGCCTGGCGAATTTTTAGGTTTGTCTCTCCATCTAGGTTTGATGTCTCAATATAACAGAGGGCTTGAGGCTCACTGTTAAGATAAGATACAATTAAAACTGGAAAAACATTCTCTTCATAGTCAACTGTATGACCCCAGTGAACAAGGGAGCAACTGGGGTAATGGAGATTAACATACAGAGGTTGTTAATTACAGAAAATTTGCAGAAATATACAGTATATGCAACTATTTATAACAGGATAAATATTTATAGCCTCCTCATTGGTGTCTCCACCTTATCGTGATGAGGGGGTTTGAGTATGCCAAGGACCCTCAGAGCTATACCAGCAGTAGCGTAGCTACTGGCAGGGCCTCCCTTCCTGGACAGGTCAAAGGGTAGGCATCAGACGAAGAGAGACATCAAAAACCAAAAACTGATGCCGGAAGCAGCATCATCAGCAGCGACTTGAAGCACAGAGCAAATGATGCTCAAGACGGTTCAAGTTCGTATAGCAACAGGTGTGACCAGAGTGGTTTGAATGGCTGTTGTACTGCAATGTGGAAAGCAAATGGAAAAACTACCACATTATCACTCTTCCTGGATAGTCTCTTTCCAAAAACAGAGATACCATGTATGCGAGATGTTTCCTCTGGAGACAAAACAATCCAGAGCTTCTCATTTGAAGGTGAAAGCTCTAGATGGCATTAAGCGGAGGAACTCTTTTGGAAGAGACTGTGGACCTGTCGTCTGAGAGATTACTGATGAATGAATGAATGAAATACTTATAGTAACCATACTGAATAAATGAAATGTGAAAAAAAATAAGATTACATGTTCGCTGTTATTCTAACTTTATGCTAACAAAACCCAAAGGCTCAACATCACTAAAACTATAGTCTACCAATTGACACGATAAATTTTCACAATATATTTTCCCCAGATTCATCCCAATATTTATATCTCATTACTCCTCAGTCTTTTAAGTGGCCACTTCCTACAAGGTTTCTCCACCATAATTCAGTATACACATCCTATCTGCTCCGTATATTGAAGCTACATTTCCAGCCTATCATAATCTCCTTGTTTTCACTACACTAACCATACTAGGTTATACTCATTTCATTACATGTTCCCTGATTGCAGTTCACACTATATTGGAATGTAACATGGTTATCAAAATGCAGACATTTATTTGAAAATATAGCACACTACACTGCAAGAACCAATTTCTATTTATTTGTTTAATTTTAAGATTGTCACACTGAACCCACTACTGGGCCAGAATATGATTTCCATCAAATCGAACTGAATGTGACAGAAAACCCAAAATGGCTAACAAGAAATCAATGTGACATTCCCCATTACTGCCATTAAAAGAAAAGTCTAGAATATTGTTACCTGGAGGACAGAATGACCAAATCTGCTGGAAAGAAGCTGTTGTTGTGGACCTTAACAACATCCCCAACTGTCACATCGAGCCACTTAACCCACAGCCAATGACCATCCCGCAGCACTTCGACTTTACGGTGGTTAATTTCACCGTCCGCTCGATGCCGCTTCTGTATCAGATGTACACATATGTAGCAAGGTTGGAAAGGCACACACTCCATACCATGTCCCTGGCACCTTGCAATTCTAAATGCTCCTAGCTTTTCTGAATACCACTGATGACATGTTAAAAAAAAGTAAAAGTAAAGCTATCCCTGTACCAGGCTGTGCAGGCCCATAGGGTTGTGAGACATTGGGGGTCCCACATTATCTAGACAATCGGCTCAGAGATGGCGGTAAGGTTCTCAGCCTTACGCGTCGGCCACACTTTACTCCCCAGGAAAATTATTTATTTAATTCCTGGTAGTCATTTCTGTTAGAGACTGAGTAAACACCAGGGCCATAGTGCAGCCAGAAGGATTAGGTCAATTGAAAAAAAAAATCCAATGACGTCATCGGGACTTTAACCCGCAAACTTTTGGCTTGTAGCATAGTGCCTCAAGTTAACAACATGAATTATAACTTCAAGTAAGATTTCATACTACTGCCTTTAAACAAGTTTTGGATCATTAATTAGTACATAAACTTGTTAAGTCTCTTCAACATCTTTCTGCTGTAACATATGTAAATCATATAGAAACCACACTAAACTTCTAATAATACTCTTAGTTGTACAACATACCGACTGTGTTCCCCTCCAAAAAAAAAATTCACTTTAGAGTCCATGTAAAATGTAAAGGACTGGCACTACAACCTACTATAAGCCTTGGCCTTCTTCAAGAGATGCAGTTTCAGTCTTTACCTCAAAAATTAAATTTCAGTGAAGAAACAACACCTATACTACATAAGGACTGTTTCTGGAAACACTAGGCACACTGAAAACATATACAATAATGATAACATATATATATA